ATATATATATATCAGTTAAGGTTTGGGTTTGTTGCACCTTGTTGTATGTATTTTGTGTTAGTTTTGGGTTTGGTTTGTTGCACTGCATTTATGTTTGTGTTGCCCTTAATAAATTATATTGTTTTACACGCTATACCTGAAGTCTGTGTTTCCCTGTGTCGGTCCACACACCTCTGGTCATACCCGGAGCCCTGACAGAGACGTTGCTCTCGGAGGATGTTTTTGTACCATTCTTTATTCATGGCTGTGTTCTTAAGCAAAATTGTGAGTGAGCCCACTCCCTTGGCTGAGAAGCAACCCCACACATGAATGGCCTCAGGATGCTTTACTGTTGGCATGACACGGGACTGATGTAGTGCTCACCTTTTCTTATCTGGACAAGGTTTTTTTCCAGATGCCCCAAACAATCAAGTCCTTAGCAGTCCAATCCTTGTACCTTTTGCAGAATATTAGTCTGTCCCTGATGTTTTTCCTGGAGAGAATTGGCTTCTTTGCTGCCCCTTTGACACCAGACCATCCTTCAAAAGTCTTCACCTCACTGTGTGTGCAGATGAACTCACACCTGCCTGCTGCCATTCCTGAGAAAGCTCTGCACTTGCGGTGCTCTCATCCCACAGCTGAATCAGCTTTAGGATTACAGTACTGGCGCTTGCTGGATTTTCTTGGGCTCCCTGAAGTCTTCTTCACAACAATTGAACCTCTCTCTTTAAGTTCTTGATGATCCGAAAAATGGGTGATTTAGGTGTAATCTTAGTAGCAGCAAAATCCTTGTTTGTGAATCCCTTTTTGCGCAAAGCAATAATGACTGCATGTGTTTCTTTGCAGGTAACCATGGGTAACAGAGGAAGAACAATGACTTCAAGCACCACCCTCCTTTTATTGCTTCCAGTCTGTTATTCTAACTCAGTCATCATGACAGATCTCCAGCCTTGTCCTCCTCAACACTTTCAACTGTGTTAACCAGAGAATCAATGATATGATGTCAGCTGGTCCTTTTGTGGCAGGGCTAAAATGCAGTCGAAATGTTTTTTTGGCATTAAGTTCATTTTTATGGCAAAGTGGGACTTTGCAATTCATCTGACCACTCTCCATAACATGCGAGTATATGCAAATTACCATCATAAAAACTGAGGCAGCAGACTTTGTGAAAATTTAATATTTATTTAATTCTCAAAACTTTTGGCCAGGGCTGTATATCTGTGAGATTCTTACTTGTGGCACAGCAATCAAAGTATATTTTATAGGTACAAGGAAGCCCAGGTTTTATTTAACCATGCCCCTTAAGCCCCTCAAGCCCCTCTCACTGTTTTTTAGCTTGGCCACAATCACTTTTTGCACACCAAGATTCAAAGGAGGAATACACATGCCCCATGTCTGTAGACAATATTTTCTTATCCTGAAATACAGCCTCATCATGTTTGTTGATGTTTGCCTTGCTGCACAATGTACAGTACTTTATATGCTTTAGCCTAGGTTCACACTAGAATGTAGTGTGAGAAACCCCTGATTTGCGTGCGTTTCCTGTACCACATTCAAATTGCACCCCCTTGCGATCTGCAGTGGGAGTCAATACAATCTTAACAACAACCCAAATGCAAATTGCAAATGCAGTGCATTTGCCTGCACTGGATCACATGGTACAAAACAAACATGCAATTGGTTCCAGTGCAGTTCCAAAATTGGTGCATGCACGACTTTAGTGCAATTGGTGTGATTCAAAATGAATGGGCTTAAATCGCACCGCACTGAATCGCATGTGACTTGAACAGGAATGCAGTGCAGTTCCTGTGCTATTCATATTCGGTTCATAGTGTGAATCAAGGCTTCATTTCTTTATTATTGAAAAATGTACATTTTTGTGTGGCTTAAATTTTATCTCAGTAGCTGTTCATCAGAAAGTAAGCTAGGCTTAATTTACACATGAAGTGGGGGGTGGTAAAAATAGGCAGTTGAGCCATGTTTTCAGAGTCCCCCTTAAGCTGTACACATGCCACGCCCACAATGCTTTGTTGTGTGCCAAAAAAAATACAAGTGCCGAACACATCTTATTCAAGTGAACAGGATCATGTTGCAATTGCAAACTAAGCTCTAGGCTTGAAGTTGCAGCACAATATTAATGCACCCAAATACCTGTCAGCCACATCTTCACCAATCTGTGAAATGCAATCCATCACACATGGCTCATCACAGAGTAATGCAGGTGTAAATGAACCTTAATTGTAGTGAACAAAGAAAGCATTAAAACGGAGCTCCACCCAAAAGGGGAAGTTCCACTTTATTGCTTTGTACCTCCCTCCCCATTAAGGATTGGGGAGCGGGGGGGGGCTGGTACCCGAATTTGACAGGTGTCCACTCCCACTTCCGCTGCGATCGCCTAGGTGATAGAAAGCGGAAGTTGTCCTCCCCCCTCCTTCCCTGTAGTCTTTTGGAACATGTGACAGGTCCCAGAAGACTAAGGGGCCATTCACAAAGCGCATGCTAAGTGGGCATCCAGCTGTGAAGCCACAAGCTGTCACAGCCGGGTGCCCACACTGAAGATGCCGACACCAGGGAGAGAAGATGGCTGGGGAAACCAGCGGTGGTGAGGACACCGCTGGACCAACGGATAGGTATTGTGGTGGTTGTATTTTAAAAGTAGCAGCTACAGTTTTTGTAGCTTTTGACTTTTTTTTTTTTTTTTCAGCTGGAACTTCACTTTAACCACTTCCCGACTGGCCGTTGTATATAAACGGCAGGACGGTGGTACTGCAGGGTCGGGTGGCCATTTATAACGGCCTCCCCGCACCCTGCTTGTGCGCGCTCCCCTCCGGACACAGTGAAACACCGATCGTTGGACGGGATCTCTCTGTACGAGGTCCCGTTCATGTGATCACTGATTGGCCAATCAGTGATCACATGCAAAGTAGTAAGCAAGATGTCACTTCTGACATCATTGCTTACTAAGTGTGAAATCTATGAATGATCACAAAGGTCACATGGTACAAGGCTATTCACAACAGCCTTGTACCATGTGACAAGCTGTGACCAATCACAGCTCACTCAGTAGTTCTCAATGGCTGCAAGAATGCAGACAGAGAGAAAGAGAAATGATTGCTTTTGCATACTATATGGGTGTAAAAGCAATCAGTGTAAAAAAAAAAAAAAAAAAATCTTCATCACCCCCCAAAAGTAGTACAGTGTCACCATGACAGTGACAATATGTAAAAAAAAAAAATAAATAAATAATAATATAAAAAAAATAAAAATGTAAAAAAAAATGTTTAAAAATTATAATTTTTGGTTATAAACTAATTTGGCTTATTTTTTTTTTTTTTACTAAAAAGATTACGGAATAAATTTTGGCCAAGATTTATAATGAAATATTATTTATTTGCAAAATTTGTAAGAAAAACACTTTTTTTTTTCAAAATTTTTGGACATTTTCATTTACATAGCAAAAAAAATAAAAATCCCAGCGGTGAATAAATACCACCAAAATAAAGTTTCATCTGTCTCAAAAAATGGTAAAAAATTCATATGGGTACAGTGTTGCATCACCGTGCAATTGTTATTCAAAGTGTGATAGCGCTGAAAGCTGAAAATTGCCCTAGTCAGGAAGGGGGTAAAAGTGTCCGGACTGGAAGTGGTTAAAGCCTGGTTCACACCAATGTGTTTTTTCAGTGCTTTTTGCAGAAATGCACAACAGTCCATTTAACATAGTTTCCTAAGGGACACTTTCACATCTATGCTTTTTTGAGCAGCTGCATTTTTGTAAAGGGTCAGGGACATTTTAAACGCAAAAAGTAGCATTTTTTTCTCATTAAGATCAATAGAGATGTTGCTGAAATGCATGTAATGTGTTTTTGGCATGTTTTGCATTTGTATTGTACCCATCAACAAAAATATTTCGTCTTTAATAAAAATCATACAAACAAAAAAAAAAAACACAAAATGCAGTAAAAATGTGTGTGTCTAAACGCAAAGCAAAAATGGATCAAAAGTAAACTGCATTGGTGGGAACCAAACCTAACAGTGAAAACATGCAAATCTATACATGTATCCCAATAAGAAAAATTGACATAGCAATTGTACAAATTAGAAAATTACATTAAAAAATTACTTTATTGTACATTACAAAATTACCTTGCAGCAGGTGCTCAGTGGAGTACACTACAGTAAATTTCTTTAATGTAATCCTGTACTCAAAAAGTATAGAAGCTGCCAATGCTGTCCTTTATTTTACAAGCTTTTGCTTTCCTTATTGTAATGTTGATCTAATGACTTCAGCATACGTTTATGTTACTGAAACATGTATGCATATAAGAAGTTCTGAGTTTACGCTGAATTTCATGTGTGCTTGTTACAGATCAGCAACTGTAGTATTGAAGCCACAAATAGCCATGTAGCTAGCATTTTCATCAATGTATTTCATTACAGGCTTCCTTTAACTACTTCAAGTCCAGACACTTTCACCCCGTTACAGTCCAGGCCAATTTTCAGCTTTCAGTGCTATCATACTTTGAATGACAATTGCGCGGTCATGCAACACTGTACCCATATGAATTTTTTAGCATTTTTTTTAGACAGATAAAACTGTATTTTGGTGGTATTTATTCACCACTGGGGTTTTTATTTTTTTGCTATATAAATTAAAAATTCCAAAAATGTTTTAAAAAAAGTGTTTTTCTTATAAAATTTTGCAAATAAATAATATTTCTTCATAAATCTTGGCCAAAACGTATTCAGCTATCGTTTTAGTAAAAAAAAAAACCCAAATTAGTTTATAAACAAAAATTATGATTTTTCAAAAAAATAAATTACATTTTTATTTTTTTTTTATATTATTATTTATGTTTTTTTTAACATACTGTCATCCTAGCAGTACAGTGTCACCACTACTTGTGGGGGGTGAAGTTTTTTTTCTTTTTTTACACTGATTGCTTTTACACCCATAAAGGCTGTAAAAGCAATCATGTCTCCTTCTCTCTGGCTGCATTCTTGCAGCCATTAAGAAATACTGTGTGAGCTGTGATTGGTCACAGCTTGTCACATGGTACAAGGCTGTTGTGAATAGCTTTGTACCATGTGACCTCTGTGATCATTCACAGATTTCACAGGTAGTAAGCAATGATGTCAGAAGTGACATCTTGCTTACTACTATTCATGTGATCACTGATTGGCCAATCAGTGATCACATGATCGGGACCTCACACAGAGGTCCTGTACAGCGCAGGGGCAGACTGACCATTTGGAAACTCGGGAACTGCCCGAGGGCCCGGGGTCAGTAGGGGGCCCCATGAGATGCCCCTGGTACCTTTTTCATAGGTTTTTTGGAGTTTGGGCAAGGACACAGGGGCCCCATGATCCCTTATTGCCCGCGGGCCCCATGAGTTGTCAGTCCGCCCCTGGTACAGCGATCGGTGTTCGGCACCGGATCACAGTGCCACGCACTCACCAGGGAGCGCGCACATGCAGGGAAGCAGGAGGACGTTTAGAAACGGCCACCTGCCCCTGCACTGCTCCCGTCCTGCCGTTTATATACATGGGCCGGACGGGAAAGTGGTTAAGTTAAAAGAAAAGCTACTGCAAAATAATTTTTGACCATATGAATGAAAGGCAACACAATGGAGAATTGCTGTTATTGTGCATCTGTTAGGCCTTGACATGTAATGGTTAAAATGATCACTAGAGATGATTGCTGCATCAACCCAGGATTTATCTTCCTCAGAAGGACTAAATTAATTACAGGCTTCCTGAACTGGTACCACTTCACACACACATAATTTGGTGTTTTATATATGTTTTACTATTTCTTGTATTAGCTGTTTCATAAGAGGCTCTCTTTCTTTTATTCCTTTCCCTTGAGTCTGAGTGCATTTGACAACTCTAGAAATATTTCATGGTTCAGTAATAGAGAGCAGCAGAGGATAAACTTTTCCAAATGGTCACATGTTGTAAGTAAAGAACAGATAGGGGATATGGCATCTGGAATCTTGTTATCAGGTCCTTGTTTGTACAGATAATGAATATTGCATTGTTTGCCATAAAGTCATTTTTATATGGCTTTCAAATTTTATTTTTTTTGCATATGCATTCAATTTAGAGATTTGTAGATTAGTCAAAAGAGAGGACTCTCAGTGGCTTTAAAGCATATGAGCATTATTATAATACAGGATTTATATAGCGCCAACAGTTTGCGCAGCGCTTTACATACAGAACAATGCAAGAAGCCCAGCTTCTGCACTTTTATCACTTTGTTAGGACACAAAGGGGTTGGTTTACTAAAAGTGGAGAGTACAAAATCTGGTGCAGCTGTGAATGGTAGCCAATCACCTTATATCTTCAGCTTTTTCAAATAAGCTTTGAAAAAAAAAAAACCTGGAAGCTCAGTGGTTTTTATGCAGAGCTGCACCAGATTTTGCACTCTCCAGTTTTAGTAAATGAACCCCTAGTGTTTAAATATTCTTACAACGGATAATGAAGTTCTGCATGCACAGTACAGACAGGGTTAAAGATGGCAAACACATATGCCCAGCCCCTCAAAAAACAAAGAAAACTATGTAGTATTTTTCTTGCCAAAGGTCCAGAACAATGTTTTTTATAGCTATGCTAAGTTAACCACATTCCAGCAGCCCTATAGCAGCTTTACTGCTACAGGGCAGCCGCTCTGTGCAGAATCACATATATATATATGTGATTCTGCACTTTTGGGAAGAGGGCACGTTAGCCCACCTACCTACGCTGTCATTGGTTCATGCCAGTGATTCATGGCCAGAACCCAGCAATCAGCAGACCAACTGACTGGAGGGAGATCTGTGAATGTAAACAACACAGATGTCTCTCCTGTCAGCGGGAATGTGCTGGTTTTTATTTTCCTGCAAAGCAGGAATTTAATTTTAATTTTTTTATTGCTATTGCAGTTTGACAGGTCAAGAAAGGGGGAGGACGAGTGAGCATCCCCCTCATCCTGAACCAGGCCACATTCTCCCAACATGGGGGGGGGGGTGCTTTATCTACCCGGCATGCCCCGGTCGATAACGTCACAAGGGTCCGGGGTCGCCCTGCGAAGTCACTGGGTGCCCCTGCTTCTTATTATTTAAGAAACTGTCATACGGAGGAAGCACATTAGGAAGCAGAGCTTGTATATGTAATTATTTAATATGTCTACCCCATGCACATTTAGCAAAGCAACCTGCAAGTATCCAGATTATGAGCTCTGAGTTTATTCCAACTTAAGCTCCTGTCTGAAAATGACTCAGAATATTGAAGCCAGAGCTATCTAAGCACTAGCATTTTCAGAAGCATGTCCGCATTGACAGCTTGCTTATTAGTACAGGTTACCTGTAAAATGTATATTAAGGCTAAATAAACAATAACTTAGATAGCATATATCTGCATATTTTTCCCTTTAAACACCCTGTGAGTACAGAAAAATACATGTTGGCTGTCAGAAATGCGCCTCAGCTCCGAAGTCCTGTTACGTTGTGGGCTGACAACACACAGCATTTTGTGGACTAAGTGGTGTAAGCCCTGCCTGTAGCAATTGTACGTACAAATATGGATGCGAACCTCCATTTTGCCAAAGACCCTCCATCTTGTATCATTTCTCACTCCAAATCAGCTGCCCCCTCCCTCTCTGTTGAGTTACACATGGTCCCTGTGTGCTGGGTTCAGGAGTGCACAGGACACAGTTGGATATCCTTCATGGTTGTAAACCCAATTAGCTGTTGCCAGGGTGTCTGGCAAATTCTTGCTCTGAAGCTAATCGTAAAGCCATAAACCCATCAGTCACTGGACTTCAAACACATTCCAGAATAGCCGTAAAACATACATCCCATTTAAAAACCACTTTTCATAACTTAAAATAGGGATTTGGTCATAGCAGAGTTCCCCGCCTAAACACCCTCCCCAAATGAGGCGATTGGTTCTCTGCTTTAAGGAGACACCCTGCTGGTGGACTAGAAAATAGGCTGTCAGGCCTGAGAGAGATAAGTTGAAGAATTCTCTCCTTTTAACATCAGGAACCAACTTTTGGGAAAAGGCACCCTTTTGCTCTGACACTTGAACGCTGCTTAAACCAAGGCTGACAGCAAGTATTCTACCTCTCTAAACTTCTTTCTGTTATCTTTCTGTTGTGGTATTGCTCTCTGTATTTATATATATATATATATATATATATATATATATTGGCTATATCTTTTCTGTAAATATTTTTATTGCACCATTTTGATCTTTTTAGTAATAAATCCTATTATCTGAAAAGTGTTGAACTGTTTCTAAAACTCTGTAATGCAAACTAAGAATCCCTGTCTCTGAAGAGCGCTACTGTGTGTTTTAAAACCTCTGGATACACCTGCCTGCGGTGACAGTGTGTATCCAGATGCTTATTCAAACATCATAGTGTTACTGTTAAGATTGCTGAGTTTCCTCTTTCTCTGTACAAAAAGGAGGTGGTGGCAGTGTGAAGGGTTAATTGCATAATTAACCTGACCCAGTAACAATCGCTCTCAGGCTGCGGTACATAGATTGTGGTCCATTAGCTGGAAAATCTTTGTGCAGGGTGCAGCTGAGCGTATTGTTGTTACGCACGTGACAGCGTGGTTTTAGATTGGCTAGTCCTTCGGTCATGAGTTGGTGAGAAGGGCTGGGGGTCTGACGCCACGACCGTCACACTGCCCACTTTTCTTTTGCTACACTTTTCAAACCCATCCCTTTTATTTTTTCCAAAATTTGGAAACTAAGATCAACAGGGAGCGAGTAAGAGAAATTCATTGTTAGGATTTACATAGCTCATACTGCTTAATGAGGAGGTTGGCCAGTGGTTGTGGGCTGCTCTCTGTCCATGTCTGGTCTTCTTCATCATACTTGAAGGGCCTAGGACTGCATCATAAGCTATTGATTCAGCTGCCCTAGAATTTTTGGTGAGCATATCTTTTACCATTAGAAACTGGGAACCTTCAAAGATCATTGACCTCCACCCAATATAACTTCCCTATATTGTACTGGGAAAGGGAGCGTATTTTGGAAAAGCAATTAGTAGAACATGTGCATTATTATTAGAGCCCTGAAAGGACCCAAACATGACAGAAAATATAAATATTCTATTTGGCCAACTGTACATAGGATTCCAGGTTCAGGAGAACTATTCTGGATTCTATTCTCATACTTACCTGCTGAATATCATACTTCTGTAAAAGCAAACAAGACTATCACATTGGCACGTGTGGACCAGTGCCTAGGGCAGCCAGCTAGCTTGGCAGCAACAAGCATCAAAATGTACAAACTTATTTTTTCTCTTATTTTATTTCCCTCTTTTGGCCACCTCTTAATATTTGTGGCTACATACGGCAAATTACCTATATGGTCAATGTGTACAGAGATGTTGAGGAATCCAAAGAATAAAGTTCCTGAACATGAATCACCCCCTTTTTTTTTCAGTTGGTCTGTACCTTTAAAAAAGTAGCTGTGAATATAAAGCAGAAACATGCTTCCTGCCTTAACATTTTCTACCATTAGATTTTACTAAAATAATTTGGACACAAGGAACTGAACTAGTACAAAAGAACAACTTCATTCTGGTCTGCTAAGGCCAGCTTAATGTGTAACTACAACCTGCAGACAACTTTCTGTGTCATGTGATGCTGATTTTCCATTTCATGTATGATTCAACTATCCACTGGAACTAAACCCTGCAGGAAAAGGTTCCAGATGTGTACTCTATACATTGTACTTTTGCTGTCTTATTTTACTGCTCATTGACAGTTCCAAACATCTTGAAAACAAATGAACAAGGCGCTGTTGCGTAGATTATTTTTTTTATGATATCTAAATTACCCCAAGCAATGCCAGCTCTTCTCTACATAAAACACCTAAAATTATACCTTTTTTGTGCAGATTAGTCAGTAAATCTTTTATAGTCATAATAATTTCGGCTTCCAGTACCATATTAAAATTATTTGGCAGCAATTAGAAAATATGATTCTTGTTTTATCTAGAAGCCAGTTGATAGCTTCATAAAAAGCATATAGTGTATATTCAACAGGCTTGTAACATACATAAAGTGTATATGAAGGCAAAGCAAAATATAATTAGCCCTACCCCTGCAGGGACCGCTTGATAATGCTTGTTCCCAGTGGTTGCCCTCATCTAGCAAGCCTCCCAACACCTCTGATACTCTAGGTTCTGACATATTTCAACAGTATGAAATATTGATGCAGGATTCTTTATAACACCTCTATATTAGGCT